GACTTGAAGACGTCTGATTAACTTGAAAATTTGCACACGCATCAAGGACCGATGACAATACAAACATTACCTCGCTCATTACATCGCTCTTATACCAGCCTTACCAATTTGTACGGAATATAAAAAAAAATTAAATTATTATTTTAGTTATTTGCCTGTTTTGTTTAAAGTTATTAAACTATATCTCATTTCGACTTAAAATAAAATATTGTATTGTTAAAGCTTCTGCGTATTGATAAGATTTTTATGCGATGTTTTAGTATGAATTAAATGTCGACTGGAGCTGAAAGAATCAATTGATATAATTCGAATAATATTGGAAAGTATACAGCCTTCCTAAGACGACTCCTAAACGAAATCAAGGACGCTCGAATAAGTTGGTTCACAAAAAAAGGAATAATACTATTCTTTAACAGTCGTTACAGCATGAAGACTATGTTTCAACTTGAAAAAACAACTTAGATAATAGAGAATTATTTAAGAAGAGATTTAGATTGTAGGCTTTTGCGTGAGCGGGATCTTTTAATTTTTTTGTCGTACAATCTTACGAAGGTACCGAAAATTTGTCTCGAATTGTACCATGGCATGATATCATTTTTATGACAAGCTGTCATGTTAAGGTTACAAATGAGGTTTTATTGGATTAAGTTCGAACGCATATTGTACGCTAGCACCGTTCGGAAGGTATACATTTTGTACAAGACCCCATAAAATGGCGGAAACTAGTAAGGAACTTGACAAATTGTTAATTCTCTTTTAACGCTTCTAACGCGTTAGAGAGATAGAGAAAGCTGCCGGATTGTCGTGAGCTTATCAGTATGACCCAGAAACAACGCGTCAGTTGACTGTTTGGCTATCTCAAAACCAACGCCTTGTGTTAAAATTAAAGGCAGGAAGAAGTCCATGCACTATTTTACTCTTTTATTCTTTCACTTTTACAGTTCAGGTACATTTCTCTAAGAACGTATATCGATTTTGCGCCTGATTCTCCTCAGTGTTCATGTAACGCAAATTGCCGATTGGGGAATTTGTCAACAACAAACTCCACACACAATTCTTGAAAATCAATTGGAATGCTAACATTATAAATTTCTTGTCCTTAAATTAAACAATGTAAATGCGTACTGTGTTTATAAGTAAGTTCCAAATTTACATAATATTATGTGTCATCGTAGTAATTCAATATAAATAATAAATATCAATTTTGATTTCTTTAATCGATTGTCTGCAAAAAAAAATCATTACCTCAGCCTCCTATACCTAATACTAACAGATAACGTTGGATATACATAGTGTAACATGGTATTGACTTCGAATTTTACGAGTCGTAGACTAAAACTAAATTAATAATTAAATTAAAACCACCTTTGCGTTTTAATCTCATTCCAATATCGTGCGAAATCAGCATCAAATTCAAATGTCGACCAATAACACCTTAGTCGTCCGTGACCACTAAAACTGTAAAGTATTCCAAACTTCAGAAATGATATGATGATAATAGAAAACGCGACTTCACTACATAGTATAAAACAAAGTCGCTTTCTATCAGTCGCTGTCTTTCAGTCTGTCCCTATATCCCTATGTATGCTTAAATCTTTAAAACTACACAACGGATTTTGATGTGTTTTTTTTATATAGATAGAGTGATTGAAGAGGAAGGTTTATATGTATAATAACATCCATTAAATAGTGGAGAAATCAATAATAAATTACATGTTCCGAAGCGAAGCGAGGGCGGGTCGCTAGTTAAGCTATAAAAGTATTTTTATTTAAAGCACAATAAATGCGTTTTAATGAGTTCATTTTAATAAAAACAACAAGGACGTTAGCTACTGAAATCTGTATTAATTGTTTCAGATAATAAGCAATCAACAAATATTTGCACAATATCTTTTTAAACGATTCATAATTCCGGCATTGAGATAATGAAACACGAAAATTGGAAATCTCACGGCATATAAAAAAATTCACGCCTAAGGTAAAATTGAATAATTTGCGAAAAGATATTCAACGAGGAACGTCCGAAATGGCCGCTAAGCCGTAATTTAGAGGGAATAAAACCAACAATTTTCCTTAGGCCTTTATTTAACTTTAACATGAATTTTATTCATCCTTTGTGCGTATTCAAACACTACTTCATCTTCAAAGACATTAATTAATGTGTACTACATTTAATTATTCTGTAATTTTAATTAAGAGTAATTAAATTAATTGAAAAAATATTTCCTAATTATTTCATATTAAAATACTAAGAAAAGATTGTCGAATCCAATTCGGATGGACAGCGTTACGATAGCTGTGTAGAATCACAAATTACTCAAGACGAAAGTCTTTGATCAGTGTGCGTTGCCAGAGAAATAGTACTGAGACGTGGTCGCTCACAATGGCTCTTATCAGAAGGCTCAATGTCACCCTAAGAGCAATGGAGAGGGCTATTCTTGAAGTTTTTCTGCGAGATCAAATCAGAAGTGAGGAGATTCGGAGGAGCATAGCCCAAATAATTGCGAGGGTGAAGTGGCCGTGGACAGGGTACATTGGTAGTATGTAAAACAGATGGTCGCTGAGGCCGAAAAGTCCTGGAGTGGCGACCATGTACCGGAAGCCGGTGCGTGGGTAGGCCTCACACAAGGTGGATCTCCTGAAGGTCACGGGATTCCGCTGGAAGCAGGTAAGGCTGGATCGGTCGTTATGTCGAGGCTTGGGGAAGGTTTATGCCCAGCAGTGGACGTCTAGTCTGTGAGCTGAAAGATAGCTGAAAGATAAATAGATTAAATTAGAATTATAATTGATTTGCCTTCGGTATTTTCCAAATCAGCGAACATATGTTCGTTTATATACTGAATGACTGATGAACTATGCAATATACCGAAAACATTTACACAAAACCAAATACTCGTATTTGTAGGTATGTACAATCCTACAATATAAAATATCAGATTCCAGTAGTACATAATATATCCATATATACAAGATAATTACAATGAATTAAATAACATTTAAAAAAACATTTTTTTTTTGCATGGATGGCATGCATGCATCCATGCAGCATGGATGGGTATACTAGCTTACGACCCACCTTGCGTTAAGTGGTCATTCGCGCCATAGACATCATAACGCAAATTCCACCACCACCCACCTCGAGACAATGCAAAATCTCAATTGTTATTTTATATTATTAACATAGAAACACATAACTAACTGTAGAAGCTACGCCGTAAAATGGTTTGAATCAGTAATGGAGTTTTGGCTATTCCAACCCCCTCGGTGCTCATTCCACTTTTCCTTCATTTTTACTTAGCTTCCAAGTCAGGAGCGAAGTGGAAAATCATGTTTTCACCAATAAATCCTATACTATTTGAATACTTAAAGTATTCACTCCATGATTTATAAAACAATTTAGGACTTCATTTGCGTGAATGAATAACGACATAGTTCTGTTTACACAGCACTCTTCGTAAATAAAACTCTACTCCTCGTTTCGTAATAAGCGGTTTCATTGCTAGATTACAAAAAGTACTTTTTATTTCATTACATAATTTATAATACGTTTATTTATAATTTACGTTTAATAAAATTTTAGTGAAACGAGAAAATTCTTTTGAATTTACTCCCGAATAAAATTTATATTTTCTTTGGTTAAATCCAACCTAATACATGTTTTCTACAGCACGTAATGCAAAAATTATTGTTAAAAACCGGATGACACACAGGTTCCATGAGCTCGTGCAGCGTAGCAGATTGTCTTTGTTGTTGTCAAATTATTGTCACTAGTGGTCCCGCAGTAGTCGAAATTCGACTATAATTAATTGAAATTATAAGTTTGAACGTTATTATTCTTAAATTCTATTGTTAAAGACTATTATACTTCTATAATTACAGATTTCGTCAAGACTACACTGTAGACAAATAAACAATTTTTTCAATTTAATCACAGACTAACAAAAGTTTGACATAGAAGTATTCACATGCGTGTGTGTCAAATACATGGTAGTGTGTGTAATGTTTTTTTTATTGATTTAATGTATTATTAATGCATAATTAAAAAAAAATACCACTCGGCATTCCTTTGCTATATTCTCTATAAGTGTGGGAAATTTCATACTCCTCCGTCCGCGCAATTTTCGTAAAAAGGGATATAAAGGTTTTTCTCCACCTATTAAAATATAGATTCCGTTATTATTTTTACCAAAATTAGCAAATTAATAGTTTTATGATTATATTGAGTCAAAATACGTGATATTGCGTGTATACTTGGAAAACTTGGAACCTGTCCTATAAACCGCTACCAATCTACTTCGGGCTTCTTAACCAATATGCCAGTGACACTTTAGTATGGATTATAAGCAACAGCAAGCAACGGTCTGAGGGTAAGTTGCGCTATCGACTCGAATATATTTATAGAGAGAGGCCACTGCGCTGGGCACAATTCATGCAACTTCCAAGGTTATTGCATATGGCGGAATTTTTATTGTATGATAAAGTTTTATTTAAACAAATTTATTGAAAAACTATTATTTCATTATCCAAGCACAACTGTTGACAAAAACGCTTAGTACTTTATTGCATCTTGAACAGAACACTGGAATGGAACTGTGACAGAGATCTGATTATTTACACCCTAATCAAAGTGAATTAGTTTATCCCAGTAACGTAAACGGGAGCGTAGCTCCCGAACAATAATGTCAAATTAATGGAACATATTATGTTTTTTGATCATTATTGAATTGACAGAACGTAAACATTTTTGCGTTTTAAATTTTCTCTCTGCTGAAAATTTCAGGGATTTCAAAACGTAGTTTTGGTATTGTCTCCAACTCCAACAGCCAAAATATTTTCAGTACCCTTTTATTACGAAACCAAAGTTGTACATTGTGTGTAACGAATTCTAACATGAATGGACGTTTTCATAAATATGCGTAATTAAAGTAGTATCACAAAAGAGTCGGTTTGGGGTGTGATTCTTTGTAGGAGCGGGTGCGGGGCTCATATAGCGGGGGGGCGGGGACGCGCAGGGCGGCAGTCAGCGCCGCGCCGCGCCCGTGTCGCCGGCGTCGTCTCCACGACCCTTTACGTAACGATGTTTGAGGTCGCGAGCTGATGGCCGCGTTCGTGTGGTGGCTGGCGGCCTGCTGCCTGCTTCGCGCCGCCACCGCTGGCAACCCCGACGCTAAACGTCTCTACGACGATCTTCTCTCTAACTACAACAAACTCGTTCGCCCGGTCGTCAACACCACCGACGTTCTACGCGTCTGCATCAAACTTAAACTCAGTCAACTCATCGATGTCGTAAGTCTATTCACTCTAAAATTACAAAAAAAAAATTGCTATTCTCTTAAACCAATGGTCTCATAAAAGCTTAGTCAAATAAACTGACCTAAATACAGACGGCACGATGAAGTCTGGATGCATGTACCTTGATTGCACTTGCGCGCCGCATTCGGAATTTAAATAAACGAGAATTGCATCAACACCTCAGACACACGACCCAGTTTTTGTTACAAATGTGTGTAGATATCCCTACTTTCATACGCATAAACTGTGTTAATGGCGATCAAATTAAACCGAGAACTCGTATCTCCACAACCAATGGTTATCTCGCTGTATCCCTTGAGGCTCATAACCAATATCAAATTACAAGATAAAAACGTTTTATTCGATTGCAACTTGAAAGTTTACAGTTACAGTTTCATAAATTGTATCTAAATAATTTTCGTTGTCATTTCTAGAGCATTGTGCACATCATCTTTCTTCTGTGTCGCTTTTGGAGGAATAATTAAGCTTTATAATATGTAAAATTTAAGTAAAAACTTTCGCGAAAATACAGATATTTGAGAATCGCTTAAGCTTTTGGAACACAATGTTGATCGTCTCTTTATAAAACGTGATGAAATGAAAATCGTTTTAATTTTTTTCTTAATATACCATATAATATTATAACTCATTCGCATATAAAAATTTCTAAAATCTTCCTGTTAATGCTATTAAGTTACAAATCAAACCTTTAAGTTGGTATACGGTGCTAATGAATTACAATATGTAATTTCATTGAGATATTATATTATTCATATTAATCAAACCACTGCTAAAACCTATTCTTTTTTTTATTCGCAAATTCGTGACGAATGATTTTAATCTACAAGTACCTTCAAACAGATCACGTTTTTACCAATTAAATCTAGATTTCAAAATTCGAACCGAAAGTTATATTTCAGTTAATTTTCAAATTCTTTGGCTCTATTCATTCAGCATTCGTATTTTACCTTACATACACTCGACTTTGATATGTAACAAAATATCCTGTGGGAATGTGCAGATCGCTCCGATACATAGGTGCCCGCGTATTGCGTAATTATATATAAAAACGTCAATCATATTATTTTGACTAACAATTTGTTAATCTGGAGATGCTGCTACGAGAATTTGATGTATTTTGTCCGTAGGGTTTGGGAAACGGCCAACTTTTAATAGACTTCATGGCACCTCCTCCGTCACATAGTAAATCTTTATAACCGGTTAAAATTTATTATGACATCCATATTTTTTTTATTTTTAAATCTATAATTGTAGTATAAACGTTGTTGATTTAATACCTATAGTTTTAGTAGAAGGAAGAGTAACATATAGGAAATAAATGCTGAAAATGATGTTACTACGCATGATGCAAATATCTTTTATGTCAATTTCAATAAATATTAAAAAAATTATAGACGGTAGTTGTCAGAATATTCTGAAGTCGAAGAATATAAAACATCTCAATCGTCAAAACGTAAGAAAATCTACATATAATAAGTATAATAGAAGGGAGATTTAACCTTAAAAGGAGTTTCAATCGTCTATGACTCGTGAGAATCGAAGAAAAAACAAAAAAAACGGTTAGTAGAATAGATTGAGAAAGCCTTTTGGTGAACAAGCAACATTTCTGACTCGATATTATAATTTACGTTAAAAGTTAGCTTCGTGGTTTTTGGTGATAGTGCCGGAAAAGATTACTATTATATCTGAAACAATCAGTAATTGAAACAAAGGTATCATGAAAATTTCATCTTTGAAAAACAAAGGACTTATAGTAACGTTTTAAGGTTTTATAATAACGGAAAATTAAAGGCAGTAATTAACACTGAACGTTTTCGTAGAAAGAATAATAGGAGCACTATAGATAGCCTTGCTAATTACTATAATATAGGATGATTGTTTATTAGTGTATTGACATATGACTATTATCGAGAGCTATTTTAAACCAGTCAAAACCAGGCTGTTTTCTGGCCGACATTTGATTTGACATTGATTCGATCGCTACCGAAATACACAGCACATCAGCTAGGCCAATTTGATGATTTCTTGAAAATTGCAACGAAATCGGTCCAGCCGTTTTGGAGTCTATAAGGTACAAACTCTTTTCTGACCCAAGCGACGGGGCAACGCAAAGTCGCCGTCGCCCAAAACATGTCTTTTCGGATACCCCGGATTCACTCTCGGTATTTTAAGGCTCCTCAAGCACCAGTTATCGTCTTCATCGTACTCGTCGATTACGACGAAGAGTTCGATGCGAGAACTGACCCATAGACAAAGCCCACTAAGTTTCGCGCCGAACCTTCTCAGTGGGTCACGATTTCGATCTGGTGGTAAATTCTGCGAAACACTATTCTTGCTTGATCCAGTGTTAGCAAATACTCTCAGGTTGAGCTCCGTGAGCTTACCTAACAAATCGTGCAAAGCTAGAATAGTCCATCGATGCTACCAGCGATTGGTAGAGTAAATATATATATCTAGATTACGGTTAACTGTCATGTATTTTGATCCTCTAATAGTCCTCGTACGAAAATGAATGACGTGATACGAAAACGGAATCCCTGAAGCCGTTTAATATAACAAAGGCGCGATAAAAGCGATAACGCAATGGACGCTTTCTGTTATAGATGTCTTGTCACGTATCGAGAGAACGGGTCTGTCTACAAGTTTATCCGGATCTTATAAGATTAAGACCTATTGTGTACATTAGGGTAAAGTGCTGTTATTCAGTGCTAGAAAATACCTTGAAATTGTGTTCAATTTCATTTTTAAATTAAAATTAAACATTTACGACGACTCTCGGAGTAGTTGTATCGAGTGAGGAGAAAGATGGTGGCGGTACCGAAGTGTCTATCAAAAAACATTTTTCCACGTAAATATTATTATAATTACCTTGGACGTCTTCACGTGGACTTTCGGGATTAAAATGAAACGTCGTATAAAAAACACCAAACCAGCAAAATTTTAATACGAATTTAACTCCGTACGTTAAGTAACCATCATCTTAACTATTTTGTACCGAAAACAGCTAAAGCCAATACAACACAAGACAATTGAGACTTCAATATCAAGTCTCAAGATGAGTGATGGCATATTGCTTAGATGTGTGGACGAGCTCACAGCCCACCTGGTGTTAAGTGGTTATTGGAGCCCATAGACATATACAATGTAAATGCGCCACCCACCTTGAGATATAAGTTCTAAGGTCTCAGCATAGTTACAACGGCTACCCCACCCTTCAAACCGAAACGCATTACTGCTTCACGGAAGAAATAGGCGGGGTGGTGATATCTACCCGTGCGGACTCACAAGAGGTCCTACCACCAGTGTTTGTCATGGTATGGGTTCCGTCAACCACTTGATACTAGGTGAGCGAGTCAACTGGTATACTTATAATAGCGCTGATATTATTGTAAAAAAAGATAAAATCAGTTTGATCTACATTATTTAGTACTGAATATTTTGGGATACTACGAGTATTTTCATAACCCACCCTAAAACGCTTAAAACCAACTTTCAACTGTAAAGGTAATTATTTGCGAGTTGAAAACTATACAACATATTACATAACTTTAGTTAACGTACTTGCGGGTTCGAAAAGCAAATAAATAAAACATTTAAAGCAAATAAATAAAACATTTTTGTGTATAATTTAAATGTCCCCTTCACAATACCTATACTACCATTCAACTGCTATTTTTTATGAAGTACATTTTTATTACATTTATTATTAATTCGTATTTCGAATGCTTACGGTTTTTCTTAACATTTAATTATTATTTTTGTAAATTAAATAAAAATAGAAATGTTGAAACACTTCCTTTCTTCATTTAAATGTCTTAATTCTTTATTATGAAACAACAAATATGTAAAGAGTTGGATCCAATGTTCGATGTTTATTTGACATAGATGGATTAACATTAGCCAATTGAACTAAATATTCACCAAACTTATGTAAATTGCTAAAGAAGTCTGACAGTCAGCTAAGGATGGATGACAATTATTATTCAGAGTGCGATAGCTGCTTGTCTTTTTCGAATAGTTCTACGAATTGTTTTCGTTAACCGGCCTAACACCGCGTAATGAGCAAGACGCCCGTATTTTTATTTGTACCGAACCGTGTACCGTAGAGATTACAGGTGGCTTGAAACCCGATGCAGTTACAGTTATTTTCTTTAAAAGTATGTAGGTATTCACGCGTTCCACGACGGTGGTAGAGAGTTATAAGGCTCCACGGTTAAGCACGTCTGATAGGTGAAAGACCAGCATTCTGGTTTCAAGGGGAAGGCCGCCTTTGTCATTATTTTATCAAATTTTCGACTTCATAGTTTTAAAGTAGAAAAATCTCATCACCCCACACCAAAGCTGTTTTTTCCCTACCTAATAGTTGGTAGAGTAAGGGAGTATTTTTTTCACTACCTATTATATACCTCCTTATATACCTCCCTAGGCTGGAAGCCTAAGGGACTTTTCCAGCTTCGCGTAGACGGGTAGGTAAGCTCACGGGCTCAGCCTGAGAAAATTTGCTAATACTAGCCCTTTTTTTTTTTTTCCCACAGGTGAAAATCGCCGGATCCCCACCCGCGCGGCAGGTGGGGTATGTGGGAGTTGAACCTCACTAAAAACTCCTGCCGCTCACAACCGGCGCCCTACCTCGGACCGGGCCGGAGCCCAGTCGGGGCTATTGAAACGGCGGGACAGGGTTGACGCAGAGCACATTACATCCATCCCACCGTCCCACGGACGCCGGACCGGTGGCCGCCAGCGAAACGACCACCGGTTCCCTCGTTCAGCGGGCCGAGAGCCCGCTTTGATGGCGCCGCGTTACACCTTCCCCCAGAGCGGTCGGGGGAACGCGGTCTACCATCACCCGGCTTCCTATTGCGGGTGAGCGTGCAGAGCACGCCACCCCTCGTCTGGGTCCCTCCCCGCACAAAACGGGTGGGACCCCTAGCTCTTAGGGGGCCAGGTCACGGATACGACCCCGGTCCCGACCC